ACCCCTTTGTTTGCGTTGTAGGTGTTGACATTGTTGATCTCTCACTCTTTGTTCTTCATTGGAGGCTTATCATTGGAGTCACTTCCCTCAATTTTTCCTTGTCTTATAGCTAGCTCGATCATCTCACCAGCTATAACTAGATCTGAGAAAGTTCCCGATGTAATTGCCACCAGGTACCCGAAGTAAGATGCCTTTAGGGTCTGTAGAAACAACTTTTTTAGTTTCCTTTTTATCCAAAGGGGGATAAACTTGTACAGACATATCCCTTAATCTCTGTGCATATTGTCGGAAACTTTCGTTATGCTTCTTTTCTAGGCTTTGCAGCATAACTCGGTCTGGTCTCTTATCATTGATATTTTTGTACTGTTCTAAGAAAGAGTTGGGTAAGTATTTCCATGTCTTAACATGGGTTTGACTGAACTGGTTGTACCACCGGATGGCTGAGCCCGACAGATTCTCTTAGAATTAGTGGATCAGGAGTTGGTCATTCCCCTCATATCCTGTCATCTTCTGACAGAACATAGTGATATGGGCTGAAGGGTAGTTGTTCCCGTCGAACTTCTCAAACTCAGGAACTTTAAACTTTTGTGGAAGCACCAAATCTGGAACCAGGCTCAGCTTCATTGCGTCCACACCATAATAATCATGGTCCCCGTGAACCATCTTCATTTGATCTTCTAACATCTTGATCTTCTCTTCCATCTTCTTTGTCTTATCCTTCTCATCAAAATCCGGGATATGATAGTCTTCCGGATGAGTATTGGTCGCGGAAGCTTGTATATTTGTACCAGATATGGCTTTCCCATTGATAGCATATGAGTCCCCTTGTAATCCGGGTAAGATTTCAGTTAAGATAACCACTTGTGGGGTAAGTGGTATAGTTACCCCTTCCGGTGAACCTGCCCCAGGCACACTGGTCTGTTGTAGGCCAACTAACTTGGCAACGATCTGATTAACTAAGGACTCTTGGTTTTTCATGATTGTATTCAGAATACTCAGACTACTCTGGTTTATCTTATCTTCTAGCTCTCTCTGGAGCTTCAACATGTTCTCCTCTATCTGAGCAATCTTGGCTTCTATTTTTTTCTTTTTCAAGCAGGTGTTATGCAGATGGGGTGTGTCCAACGCTTGAGGTGGAATGTCCAGTGTTTGTACCCTTTTATGAGACATCACTTGTTAGTTAATGTGGATGAAATGAAAGAAAAAAATGAAAAAGAAAAAGAAAATAATGCAAAATATGCAAGAATGCATGATGCATGAAATGTTCGAGGCGTTAATCAAAAAATGTGTCTGTTATTAGAAATAATCCTTATTAGGGACAAAAGTGTTTTATCTTTTAAGAGATAAAAAATATTCTGACAGCTTCTGACATGTTGACTAATCTTCCGCCTCCATCCGTCACCGGTTGAATAACCTGTCGAACCGCTCTAGCTTCTCCGGCTTCCACTCTTTGTTGAGTATGTTCCTAATGAAAGCACCATTGGAGCCCTCCATCCGAAGTTTATCGGCTTGTTTCTTGAATTCTTCAACTCTAATTTTAGGTATCGTTTTTCCATTGTTGTCTTTGAAGGGACTCCCAAGATCAACAACCTTCATCTTGCCCCTGCAAAGATAGACTTTCATTGTGATTGATGTAAACTCGGTTCATTCTGAGTCCTTTATAATGCAGCAGAATGATATAATCTTCAATTGCGGGAACCACATATTCTGGATTGAATGTGACACATAGTCGCCTTGTAGACTGCCCTCTGCATTTTCGTCTATTATATTACAACCCCTTTGTCCATTAATTCATATTATTTTTTGTGTAACAAACACCTTTTTAGGGATCAATGACCTATTGTTATGATACAAATGCTCAAAAAACACAGAGGCAAAAAGTTAGTAAAATAAATAAATATAAAAAATGATGAAAGAAAGAAAGAAAAGTAAGGAAAAAAACATGGTTAGGGTAAAAATGTCCTAGGGTTTGAAATGTGGTTTTGGGGTATGCTCTATTTCTCCATAGTCTCTCAGTTTTGGTTCTAAAAAACGGTACTCGAGTTCTCCTTGCTGGGGCCCCCTTGGGCTTACCAGACCCTTAGTCCTAAACCCATCACAGGCTTGTGTGGACTAAGTTAAACTCGAGATGACAGATTCCCTTATGCCCATACGGAGAATAAATTCATACGAAGGCATAGGTATATGAATCCCGAAGGTTACTTGCTAGGCCCATCCGGTGAATAAATTCACACGAAGGCGTCGCTTTCACCCCCACTTAAAATGGGTTTGGAGCTCAGGTTTAGAGCCTTAGATGAAAAATCCTTAGGGGCTGAAATCATTAAAAAACAGTTAGTACAACTATTTACTCGAAAAATATAACCAAAAGTAAGCAATAAGGATCGAAATGTTACCTTAAAATTTAATCTTACCCTTTTCGTTAAAAAGACAACTGAAAATTACCTTAGCCTGACTCACTTACCTGTGTCCCCAGCGGAGTTGCCAAGCTGTCAAAACTGTCTTTCGGTTGGCCCTAGAATTGGGATTCGACTTGAATAATTCGGGTTAGAGTCGTCACCGATCATTTATTTTAAAACAAATGGGTTGATCGAATACCTTATTTCTTACATGATCTGCGTCTTACCAAAGATGTGTCGGATTCGGGAGTCGGTTACAGTCAAGGAAGGGTTAGCATCCTTGAACTGCCCTTTCGGTACTACATAATTTACAGTTTTTTTTAATTAAGAAAATTGAAAGTTAAACTTAAAAGGTAAAAATAACGACCCAAATTACTTACCTTCGATTGATTAAAAATGTACCCTTTAAAAGTTAAAAAATGTGTTAGGAAAAAAATGAAAATAAAGAATAAAGAAAGTACAAAAACGAACGAAATAAGGAAATTAATATAAAATAAAGAAGATAAATAAAAAATAAAAATAAAGTAAAGGTAAAAATGAATAAAATAAATAAAGCAAATAAAATGAAGAAAGATAGTAATAATAATATACACAAATAATAATAGTAATAAGATGTATATATAATATATATATATATAATATAATGGTAATATATAAAAAAATAGAAAATTAATAGAAATATATATATATATATATAATATTATAAAATATAGTACTTAAAAAAAGAAAAATAACCAAATAAATATAATCAATATATATATATATTAATAATAGGTATACAAAATAAAAAACGTTTGTATATATATATGGATAAATAACGTTTTTATATACATATGGATAAATAATAAAAATAATAATAATAGCATAAGAATTAAACTGAATTAAAAAGCAAATTATGTGGCCAAATTAAAAAGAAAATTGAAATGAGAGATCAATTCAAAGCAAAATTGGGATCAAAATGAAGGTATTTAAGGTGCAGGGGGATGAAACTGTAATTTTCCCATTTATGCTTCAAAAACACGCGGTTCTGAGGGAACACGCAGGTCGGGTCACTGTCGAAGCGGGTCAAATGGGCTTAATATATAAGCCAATTTTTTTTAAAAGTTTCATTTTCTCTCTTTCTCAAATACATGAACCCCCTTTGTAAAATGTTCTCCTTTGTTCATCCAAGGATGAACACCACCGCCTGGTTTCCAGATTCCGACCGTTGGCCACCCCAAGCCACCTCGCCAGCGGTAAAATCAAAACTTTTTTCTATAGTTCGAAAGCACTTTTCCCCTATTTCTCAAAAATCAAAATTTTTTAACAAATAACGAGCCTTGGGGAATAGATATATATTCAAAGTTTTGAAGAACTCCCCATGTTTATCGGCTAAAAATGGTTTTTTGGGGTTCGATTCGAACCAAAAAAGGTGGATAAACACTCATGCAAGGACCACACGAATGAGAAAGTAAGCAAAGATATACATTTCTTTTATTTATTCTTCAAAAATGAAAAAAAGCTTCGAATGCTTTTACCTTTTGAGTTTTGTGTGACTCTCACGATCTCTCTCTGTGTACTCGTACGTGATATACTGTGTCTAGTATTCGTGTGTAAATCGTATCCCCTCCTCTGTGATTGTCGTGTTACATTTATAGCAAAAACAATATACTATTTTTAGTACAAATAGAGTCCTAATGAGACTACTCCTCTTGCTTTGGTTGTTGAGGTTGATATCTCGCACGACGTCGGTCGATTTGGGGCTATTAGAGTCAAGTGGCCGTGAAACTCGGAGAGGTTTCCACATGTTGAGGCTTGCGACGCAGAAGGAATGCTAGGGTTCTGAAAACCCTAGCTTGATGGATCGTGTGATGTTGGGTCTGGGTTGTGGGCCGCACAAATGGACTGCTGGGTTATTGCGTATTGGATGTATTTTATCTGTAACGGGCCTAGGGCCTGATCTTGTAAACAAAGCAAACAAAAAAAAAAGAATTAATATATGTTTATTACATAATATAGTATGTATATCATATATATATTATAATCAAAATATTATGGGCCAAATGTTGTGTCTACACTCCTGTTTGAATGTTTCATGATCTAATCCATCAACTAATTTATTTATTGCACGTCATAGGTAATGTGTCATGATATTACATTTTTACCCTTCAATGTTCTTGTTCAACTAGGAAGGGTAAAGTAGCCTAAAAGAATTTGATTTTGATTGATTTAATTTAATAAAGTTCAGTATTTTAAAAGTTAAATTTTATAACAAAATAATTTTTAATAAAATTTTTAATCAAATTAGAATCAAAATATTCTATTTATTTTCAAAATTAATTTTAACACACATAAAAATATATTAAATTAAAAATCGAATTATATTTTTACAGGGTCAAACTAAAATCGAACGGACAAAAATTTCATCTTGTCCCGTTACACAGCATCTCATCAACCAACCACTTGTCCAGTTCTAACATACAAAGCATCAAGGCTAGTAGTGTCATTTCAAATGCTTGTCTTAAAAAGGAGCTTTGGGTTTGTCTGTATTTTCATTCCACAAAACTGCAAACGAAACTAGTTTTCCAGAACCAAAGGGAACTCGCTGTTCGGTGTTATTTGCTTGATTTGTTATGTTAAACGTGGGAGATATTTATGACTGTTCTTAATGCAATCTGGGTCTTTCTAAAGGTCAGACTTTTTTTTACCATTCCTTAATTTAGATTTATTATTTCTGAAGTTTTTCTACCCCCCATGAAATATTAATTATTTTTAGTTTGCTTAATTAACAGTGTAGCATTTATGGTGGTGCTAACTTATCTTGTAATGTTAGGAACTTATAAGAACCTCTGTCTTTGGATCTTGTTCAACAAAGTATTGCAGGTCATAGTTCTGTGTTCTATTGAGTTGGGGATAAAAAACAGTAATCTATGGTTCCTGATGAAAAATCTGCAATCATTTTTTCTGTCGCTAATGTGGCATTGGTTTAATGGCAAAGACGTAATTTTTAGGTTTCGGGTTCGAACCCTGAATCAGTTATCCAGTTCCGTGTGATAATGATTGATTTTGATTGAAATTGTTGATATAGTTATAAGTTGCAACTTTGAAAAAAGAAGGGTTATTCATAGAGTATGATTCTTTGGTTTCTAACTGTGTGTGTGTGTCTCTTCTTAATGCTGGAGACATTCTAAGGTCTGGTTAATTCTTGCTTCAATGTCTCGTCGAACCAAAAAATGCAGCTTTTTTCTCAAGTTTCTTTATTATTGTTGCTTGTGCACTTTTGCATACTAGTAGTGTACGTATTGTTTGGTGCAAGAAAACATATTTTGACAGAGGAAAGATTGATCTATTTTCATACTTTCGGAATTCATATCGGGTCTGCCTAAACTTTCATTTGAAGATTACTTTCTGGTATGTGTTCCGTAAAGTATGAATATCAAATTCACTCTCTCTGCACGTTAACCTAACCGCAGCATCCAAGCGTTGCAGTTTTGGTGACTAGAGTACATGTGATGTTATTTTACGTTTGGAAAATGATGGATGAAGACCTGAGTGGTTATATTCCCACTCATCGGTTCTCGTAAGTAAAGTGGTTTCTTTGTGGTTCAGCTCTCTAATCCTGACTTTTGCTCGTGCATTGAGATTCAGTGCTTGGATACTACTTATGATCATCATGTTAACCTTTTGAAATCATTTTATCTCCCCACTGATTCACTTTTGGACTCCCTGGTCTCGGTCCAATCTGTTCTTGGTATTCTACACTTGGCAGTCGCATTTCGCTGTGAAGATGTTACAAACTGCTGCCTCCAGTACTCGGAGGCTGTTCCTTGGGACGATAAGGAAGAGGAACAAGTTATAAAAGCGATTTCGAGACTGGGACCAATAACCATGCCCGTATTCGCAAGGATCCAACCAGTAGATTTAACATTTAAGTGCCACCGAAAATGTGTTTATTTCAGCAGTTCGCTTTTCCACATCAATCGGTGGATCTTGTCCACCTTTTGGAGATGAGCTTAAGCATCTGCGTAAGAACAATTGGAATTCATGCTTGGAGGAGACGAAGAAACCTGTTAGTTACAGCTGATGATGAGGTAAAATCGGTGATAAAATCGGGTCTTACCCGAGTTTGTTCGTCATTTGAAAATGAAATTATCTTCCTTGCTTGTTGTTTTGGATATCAAGGCTGAGACCGTTGAGAATAGAATTTTTCAGAGCCTATTGGATCTCGAGTGGATGTGTAACATACTCCCCAAGACGGATTTAATGAAGGACTTTGTTTGTCGTTGGGGTGAGATGTCTGGTAAGGTTTGGGGAATTATTGAAGACAAGAAACTTGATAATGCCATGTGGGGTTTGAAGCTGAAGCTTATAGAAGTGACTGGGAAAGTGTGTCGTAACCGGTTTTCGTCCGGGCACGAAATATTTATTAGGCGGGAAAATTGATGTGAATAAATGGTTTTGAAAATAATTTGAGAGTCGCCATCGGCCTTTTGGGTCAGGTAGGTCGAATACCTAAAAATTATTTTTTTTAAAAAGAGTTTTAAGAAAACCTCAATTAAAAATGAACTGATCTGCGTTTTAACCAAAAATTCGTTCTTTTTAATAATAAAGAGGGATTCGTGGTCGGTTACGTTTAGGGAAGGATTAGCACCTCTACAACGCCCAAAATTGGTATTTTTTAATTATAAATTGTCTCTATTATTAAAAATATTAAAAATTCAAAATATATTTAATTTATAATCCTATTATTTCAAAATTATAAAAAATATTTAAAAATATCGGAAAAAGACTTCTAGGTGCCTTAAGACAGCTCTTTTCTTTGATATTGATAAATATTAATTTAAATTAAATAATATTTTTTTTTTAATTTTTAATTTTAAAATACCAGAATAGGACATCCAGTTATATTAAGACTGTCCTTTTCTTTGATATTGAAAAATAAATATTAAAATAATTTATTTAAAAAAATAAATTATTATTTATTATATATATATATTTATGAATACATAATAATAAAAATATTTAAAAATATAAACAAGTAAAATTAAAACAATAAAAATACAACTAGAACGATATATTTAAAAGCAGTAAAATAAATAAAAACATTTAAAATAAATGACTAAATTATAGTAAAATTAAAAACCTAATTCATAATTAATCAAAATTATAGGGATTAAACATGCTATTTCTTTATTTTATTTATTTAGTGACTAAAATAAAATTATCTAAAATTCGGATATTAGAATAAAATATATTAAAAATATAAACTAGGGATTAAAATATTATTTATTAAAATTAAGGGATTAAATCTGTTATTTATCCTAAATATATTATTTTAATATAAAAGACTAAAATAAATAAAATTAAAATTAAAGATCTGAATTAAAAAGATTATAAACTTGATTTAATGACTAAAATGTAAAGTTTACAAATCTTGATGGCTGCGGACGGGATTTAACAATTTAAAATTGCACAAATAGTCCTTCCCGAAACGACGCCATTCGAGAAGGCCTATTTAAGGTCCAAAACGGCTGGCCCGAAGGGCCATCCTTCATTTCTTTTTTTTTTCTCTCTCAAGCAGAGAGAGAGCCAGAATTCTCTCTGGCCTCTCTCTATATTCCCTCATCGGAGGGAATCCGGCAGCCGTCTGCCGCCGTAAATTCCCCCGCCGACCACCGCCTCCGGTGGTCGGAAATTCCCCAAATTCATCTAAAATGTAGATCTAAACACTCTAAGACTGAATCCGGCCTTTGTTTCCCCAAAAAGACTCCTAATCGGAGTAAATCTATGAAAATACCTTCGGTATTTTCTGTTCTCCGACGATGTTTAGTGCTTCCGGCGATGGTCAATGCTTCTTTGGTAAGCTTCTTTCCTCTTCTTTTTTTTTGTTGTTGTTGCTGTGTTGTTGTTGACTGGGATCGTTGGTAGTTTTTGTATCTCTCTCTGTCTCTGTTGTTTCCTCGTCTCTCCCCGTTCTTCTCTATTTTTGCTTGCAGATGGGGTGATGGCTTTATAGCCATCACCGGTGTGGCCATCGGACCGGTCCGAAGAGCGGATTTCGGTGAGTCACCGGACTCCCAGTGGTGACTCACCCCATAGCCATGGCGTGGACGGCTAGCGTTGGAGCCTTCGGTTGGGACGTGGCAGCGGTGGAGATGGCGAGAGCAGCTGCGGCGGCCGCGTGGCCCTAGGGTATCATACCCTAGGGTTTGCATCTGGAGGTTCTTGGACCGTTGGATCATGCCAGATCCAACGGTGGATGGATGATGGCGGCTAGGGTTTAGGGTTACACATTTGGGTTAAATGGCTGGGCCATTGTAATTGGGCCGGTCGATTGGGCTTGTATATATATTTTTTTATTATTATTTATATATGTATTTAATATATTTAATAATAATAATAATGATAATAATAATAATTATTATTATTATAATAATAATAATAATAATAATAATAATAATAATAAATCAATATGGGTAAAAAATTAGTATCTTCAGCTGCCCCTCTTTGCTCATTCTTGTGTTAACAGGAATAGGGCAAAGATGAAAAGATAATAATTTTTTTTATCCATTTGGCTTCACTTGATCATAATGGAGATGTTGAATAAATTTTTCTCTTTCTTCAGATGAGTTCTTCTCATTATGAACTTTCCGCTGGGGATGATGTTGACCTATTTCCTTCTGTGATAGAGTTATTCAAAAGGTTGAATAAGCTCTTCTCATTGTGGACTTCTTCTTTTTCAGATTAGTTCTTCTCATTATGAACTTCTTCTTCTTCAGATGAGTTCTTCTCATTATGAACTTTCTCTGGAAAAGCTGATCTATCAAGTGATGGATTTGAACAAAAGGTTGAACAAAATTTTCTCATTATGAACTTCTTCTTCCTTCTTTAGATGACGAGTTCTTCTCATTATGAACTCTACCTGGCAATGTTGATCCATCAAATGATAGATTTGAGCAAAAGGTTAAACAAATTCTTCTCATTATGAACTTCTTCTTCCTTCTTCAGATGAGTTCTTCTCATTATGAACTTTCTCTGGAAATGATAATCCATCAAGTGATAGATTTGAGCAAAAGGTTAAACAAATTCTTCTCATTATGAACTTCTTCATCCTTCTTTAGATGAGTTCTTCTCATTATGAACTTCCTCTGGAAAAGCGGATCTATCAAGTGATGCATTTGAGCAAAAGGTTGAATAAATTCTTCTAATTATGAACTTCTTCTTCCTTCTTCAGATGAGTTCTTCTCATTATGAACTTCTCTGGCAAAGCTAATCCATCAAGTGATGGATTTGAGCAAAAGGTTGAATAAATTCTTCTCATTATGAACTTCTTCTTCCTTCTTCAGATGAGTTCTTCTCATTATGAACTTCTCTGGCAAAGCTAATCCATCAAGTGATGGATTTGAGCAAAAGGTTGAATAAATTCTTCTCATTATGAACTTCTTCTTCCTTCTTCAGATGAGTTCTTCTCATTATGAACTTCTCTGGCAAAGCTAATCCATCAAGTGATGGATTTGAGCGAAAGGTTGAACAAATTCTTCTCATTATGAATTTCTTCTTCCTTCTTCATATGAGTTCTTCTCATTATGAACTTGAACTGGAAAAGTTGATCCATTGAATGATGGATTTAAATCTTTGATAAAATCTTTGAAATTCCTGTTAAAAATCCAGTATGGATAAAAATGCACCTATTTTTGCAAACACCTAAATATGATGCATGAATGTTAAGTTTATTTGATTTCAGATTGGTGAATTGAGTATTTCTTCAATTGTAAAAACCCAATAAATCTTTCTTCTTCAAATCAGAGAATCTATCCTCTTTGACAAATGTAGAGGTAGATATAATGTCACAAAACCTCTTGAGAATAAAACTCAATAGTATAGGCTCTTGAAAAGCTTGCCTTCATGTGACATGTTGATTCTGATAACAACTCATCTGATTATGAAATGTCATTTCAAGATGATTTCTGATTCTGATGAGGAGAATAAACTGTTATACTTGACAAAAATGGAATTCTCAGAGGTTGAAGCTTCAAAAGCCATGGAGAGATGTGGTCCAGATTCATCAATTGCAGAATTGACAATTTTATATGTACTGCTCAAATGGCTAAGGCTGCCGACACATTTCTTCCGGTAAAAGATGGGAAGCCATTATGCAATGATCCCAGTTACAAGCAAAGGCGAAACTTGTGCTATGATTTTTGGGAAAGGAATAAGCAAAAGAAGCTTGAAAAGAAACTTCTTAATGAAGACGATCATGCAATTCATCTTTTAATTCCAATGATTAGTCCTGGGTTTTATATCAAATCAGATCAGATAACTCAAAGAACACTTCCAGAAGATGCTATTGGGTCTCCTTATTTCTACTATGAGCAAATTCATCTTTTAAATTCAATGATTGGTTTTACCAAACCAGATCAGATAACTCAAAGAACACTTCCAGAAGAAGCTATTGGGCACATTCATCTTTCCAAATTCAATGATTGGTTCTGCCAAACCAGATCAGATAACTCAAAGAACACTTCCAGAAAATGCTATGAGCACATTCATCTTTCCAAATTCAATGATTGGTTCTGCCAAACCAGATCAGATAACTCAAAGAACACTTCCAGAAAATGCTATGAGCACATTCATCTTTCCAAATTCAATGATTGGTTCTGCCAAACCAGATCAGATAACTCAAAGAACACTTCCAGAAGATGCTATGAGCACATTTATCTTTCAATTTCAATGATTGATTTTACCAAATCAGATCAGATAACTCAAAGACCAATTCTAGAAGATGCTATGAGCACATTATTCTTCCAAATTCAATGATTGATTTTACCAAACCAGATCAGATAACTCAAAGAACACTTCCAGAAGATGCTATGAGCACATGGCATTTGTTCCAGTTAATGTTTGGACTGGGATATCACAGTACTTATTCGATGTAAAGCCAGAATTTGTAGATTCGAAGCATTTTCATGCTACTACACTGAAAAGGGCTATATTCATAATTCTGCCAATTAAGAACAGATTTTCTCTTATTATGTTTCCTCCATGTGCTGATGCTTTTCCATTGACAAAGAAATGATGGCCTTCTTGGAATCCAAGAACAAAGTTGAACTGTTTATAAACATGTACAGAAAGTGCCAAATTGACATAAAGGATCTGTAAGGCTCTTGAAGCTTATGACAAAGAGCCACATTCGAGTGTTCAGAAGTATGTTCTTGATGAGTGCTGAAAATGGAATCTTGTATGGGTTGGAAGGAATAAAGTTGTGCTCCACTTGAACCTGATGAGGTGGAAATGCTTCTAGGTTTCCTTAAAAACCATACACGAGGATCTGTATAGAGACATGTTTCCCAATGATATCAATGTCCTGTCTCTTTTCTCTGGAATTAGTGCTGCAAAGGTCGCCTTCTACTGTCTTAGCATATCTTTAAAAATAGATGTGCAAGAACTGAATGATGATCGGTTGGAGCAATTGATGAGTAGTATTAATGGACTCGACCTTGTTGTCAGTGGCATCCCATGTAACAATCTTGTTGTTCATGGCTTTAAGATGGTGATGATTTGCTTACTTTGTATTCCATGCTTTTAAAAGGTATTAACATAAAGTGATATTCAGAAATCTTTAACTTATTTCAAAATTATGTTAATTCAATAAAAGAATAAATTGAATTTTCGAAAATAAATTGAATCTCAAATAAATTGAACTTGAAATAGATAGAATTGTATTCAAAGTTATGGCAAGCATAAGAATGATAAAAATTCAAATGTCTCAACAAATTATTAGCATAAGTATTTCTAAATTAATCAAGTTGACACAATTTAGAGAAATGATGTAAGCTTTTGTCTGGAAGATCTCAAACGTTGTCAAAATGCTTGTAGATGTGAAGTTTCTCCCAAACTGTCAAAATCTTAAGAGGGTTCAATTGCCAGATGCCTAATATCAACCTGCATTTGAGCCGCCTTTTTCAGGTTTTCAACTCAAATCCTTCCTTTGGTTACAAGATGCCCTTTGCGGGTTTTTATCTTGAATTCTCTTTTTTCTTCTTTTTTTTCTTTTTTCTTTTTTCTCTTTTTTTCTTCTTTTTCTTTTTTTTTTTTTTTTTTTTTCTTTTGTTTCTTTTCTTTCTTTTTTCTTCAAGCATAATATTTCTTGACAGAATCCGAGTTTATTAGATTTCTCAGAATTTTTTCATCCATTTCTGTCAAGATCAATGCTCCTCCAGAAAAGGCCTTTTTTACAACGTATGGCCCTTCCCAATTAGGCATCCATTTCCCACGGAAATCTTTATGTATAGGCAAGATCTTTTTTAGTACTAGATCACCCTCTTGGAATTCTCTTGGATGTACTTTTTTGTCATGAGACTTCATCATCCGTTTTTGATACATCTGTCCATGACAAATAGCTTTCAATCTTTTCTCCTCAACCAGGTTCAATTGATCAACTCTAGCTTGGATCCATTCAGATTCATCCAATTTTGTTTCTCTCAATATTCGAAGCGATGGAATCTCAACTTCAATTGGTAAGACTGCTTCCATCCCGTAGACTAAAGAAAACGGTGTTGCCCCAGTAGATGTTCGAACAGTAGTTCGGTATGCATATAAAGCAAAAGGTAACTTCTCGTGCCAATCTTTGTAAGTTTCAGTGGTCTTTATAATGATTCTCTTGATATTCTTATTTGCTGCTTCAACTGCCCCATTCATCTTTGGACGATATGCCACTGAGTTTGCATGTTTGATCTTAAACTGTGCACAAAGTTCGGTCATCATTTTGTTGTTCAGGTTCAGAGCATTATCTGTAATGATCCTTTCTGGTAGGCCATACCGGCAAACTATCTCTTTCTTTATGAATTTGCAGACTGTGGACCTCTTAATATTGGTATATGAAGTAGCTTCAACCCATTTGGTAAAATAATCAATTGCCACAAGGATGAAACAATGTCCATTCGATGCTTTCGGTGTGATTGCACCAATGACATCTATTCCCCACATAGAAAATGGCCAGGGTGCTGTCATTACATGTAAAGGAGATGGGGGTACATGAATCTTGTCTGCATATATCTGGCATTTATGACATTTCCTTACATAATCAATGCAATCTGTGTGTATGGTAGCCCAATAGTATCCATATCTCATTATTTTTCTGGCCATGGAAAGACCATTTGCATGTGTTCCACATATTCCACTGTATACTTCTTCAATGATGCTTTTAGCTTCGCTGGTATTTAAACATCTCAATAGCATTTGATCATTGCTTCTTATATACATAATCTCTCCATCAAGAAAATATCCAGCAGCCATTCTTCTCAAGGTTCTTTTATCAATTTCCGATGCATTTGGTGGATAACTTTGATTTTTGATATATTGCAGAATATCATGATACCATGGTTTACCATCTACCTCTTCTTCCACACTATAACAATGTGCAGGAATTTCATATACTTGCATTTTGATTGGCATCATATCAACTTTCTTAGTTGCTTGAAACATAGCAACTAATGTAGCCAAAGCGTCTGCCATTTGATTTTCTTCTCGAGGGAGATAATTGAAGGTAACTTTCTCAAATTCTTTCACTAATTCGAGGGTAAAATTTCGGTATTCCAACAATTTGGGGTCTTTTGTTTCCCATTCTCCTCGCAATTGATACACCACTAACGATGAATCTCCATATATTTTGAGACATTTGATTTTTCTTTCTATAGCTGCTTTTAATCCCATGACACAGGCTTCATATTCTGCCATGTTATTGGTGCAAAAGAACTCCAGTCTACTTGTAAAGGGATAATAAACATTTTCTGGAGAAATTAACACTGCCCCGATTCCTCGTCCCAAAGCATTGGATGCTCCGTCAAAGTAAAGCTTCCAAGATGCAGATGCATCATTTGTTCTGACTTCTTCATTCATGGATATACACAACAAATCTTCATCAGGAAAATTGAAACTCAAAGGCTGATAATCATTTGATACACGACTGGCCAGAAAATCAGCTATTACACTTCCTTTTATTGCTTTTTGGTTGACATATACAATATCAAACTCAG